CTCTTGCTTCTTCGATGCCATCCTGCTTCAGCTCTTCCATGCATAGTAGTTGCATCGGCTGTTGTTCAATTCTCCAAATTGCACCCCACTGAGCCAATCTCATCTGCATTCGTTCAGCTCTTGGCTTTGTTTGGAAAGGGCGCTTGTATGGCATCTCATCAATCTTGATGGATCTGAAAAACCTCCTGCACCCCTTCTCTCTGGATTGGTGCATCCACAATCTGTATTCTTCAGTTTCCAATCTCTGCGCTCTTCTTTGTTCATGCTCAGTCAACTGCTCTCTCGTGAAGCGGAGAAGGACCTGTATATGCTCCTCTCCATGGTTGCTCCACAGCATGCCAAACAACAATTGAAAGCCCGAGAAAGACACACTGAGCCCTTCAAGCCAATGCTGCTCCATCTTCCACCCAAGCGCCTCTAGGCTCTCAGTAACTTGTCAGCACTCGACGGTCTGGTCAGAAGTTGCTGAAGGCGGACTTCAACTTGTCCCCAAAATGATTGGCTGCCTCTCTGCCAGACCCATGGTTTGGTGACATCCTGGATTGGCCCGTGCTGCATGTCCAAACAACTGCCTTTGCCCAGTTTTGGACTTTCTAGCTGCTGAAGGGAAAAACGTTCCATGCGGCTGCACAAATTGGCCATGTGTTGTGAAATCTGATCTCCTTCGTCTCCTAGCCAGCAAACCTGGACCTCTATCATATGCCACGTGAAACGCACATTGTCGAGCCTTGGTGCAGGGTTGAATTTGCCAATCTGCCTCACTGCAATTTGCTGTGGCGCTCTGTGTATCTTGACAATCAGCTGACGATGTGGCTTGTACGGGACAGACCAATCAGCTTCAATGCTCATATTTGCAGCTAGAACATTGGAAATCAACGCCCAGTCTAGCTCAGAGCCTGTGTTGATTGTTTCTGACCTTGTGGCCAACGCCGTTACCTGCATGATGCTGCTCATGGAGGTGGACATGAACTCTTCTGGAGTTGCATTGAAATCACCAACAATGATCACTGGCTGCATGAGCCCCGTAACAAAGGTCAACAGCCTGACCAGAGGTGAGCATTCGTTTGGCCCTGAAGACCTTCCACGCACTTCATGTATACCATGACTAGGATCACTTGAAAGTCATTGAAAGTCAACTGAACTGCCAACCAGCCACATCCATCAATGAATTGCTTGTTGACACAATGCACATGCTTATCAGTAGGAAAAAGAGCCAAAACGCCCGCAAGCGTGCCCTCTTTGGGGCTCTCCGCAGCTTCCTCCCCAAAAACTTGCCAGCCCCGAGCACTAAACCATTGAGCAACTTTGGCAAGTTCAGCTGCTCCAAGATGGGTCTCCATCATGAGGAAAGGGCTGCGGGCCCTTGTCAAAAGCCAGCTTCTCACCGCTTGCCCACAGGAAGTCACATTCCCAAAAGCAAACTCAATGGAATCTGTTTGTCTCCGCTTGGCTGATGGCCCCTCCAAGGTCTCTTCTCTGGTCTCAGTGCAAAGCTCACACCTGACATCCTCCGGTAAGAGCCGAGACGAAGGGACAGCCCACACTTGAAAAATCTGTGCTTTGAGTTGCTCATGCAACCGAGGTAGAGGCTTAGGGAAAGCACCATCATCTACAATCCAAAACAAACCCCTGTACTGCAAGACTGCAAAGTAATGCCCTGCCTCATGCTCAGGCCCCGAGTGACACAACAGTCCAATCACCCTATCCACAAACCGTCCTTGGCGTAAACCTGACCCTCCTTGCCCACGAATTGATCAAGGTTTCAAGCCCTTGAGCCCCATCCCCTTCACAGTAAAGAAGGTGAGTAGGGAAGGCCTTCCTCTTTGTTTGGGACAGTCTGTAGTCAACATGGTAAACTCATCCACAACCAAGTCCGTGCCAGCCAGTTCAACCAGGGAAGTCAAAAACCTAGCTGCATCGTCCTGAACCTGGTCATCAAAATCTTTCCGTAAAGGCAACAGAGACTGCAAATGAGTAATGTCGACTGCATCCTCTTCTCCCAAGGCAGCCTGAACTGCCCTGCTGGTTTGCTTCCAGAGATTTGAGCCACCCAAAAAAGTGCCGCATGCCCAGCTCCACAAACGGAAAGGTGACTTTGCAAAACATCTATTCTTCGGGTTCCCCAATCTGCATGTGTGCCATGGGAAGCTGGTCCCACAGCTCACTTTCTTCTGGTGTCATGCTGACATCTCCCCTATCAGCATCTGGAACTTCTATGACTCCTGGCATCATGCCCCTTTGATGGACACCCAGTGACAGTGACTGTCCTGGCTGTCCTGTGGAGCGTCCAAAACCGCCGCACCATCCATGCCCCGTCATAAACAACAGCCGCTGTTGCAAGTCCTGAGCCTATATCCACAAAATGTGTCTGAGTGACATCAGTCTCCCCATGATGTCCAAAAACTGCCAAGAAACTCTCCTGCTGCTGCCCCCTGGTAACTTCACTCATGGAAGCCGCCCGCTCGGATCGAGAATCCACCCAACTGGTGTTACCCGCACTTCCTTCTTTTAGCAGCAGACTCGAGTTGCTTCGTGAAGGCCTTGAGTTGCTCCGCATTTGGAGTGAGTCCAATGGCCTGAAAAATGCCATTCAGCTTCTCCTCGGTGAGCTCTCCATCTGCAATCTCTTCTTCTGCCAGTTTCTTCTCTTGCTCTAGCTGCTGGTTGTAGGAATCCGTGTGTTGCAATAGCTCTTTCTGAGCTTCTTCAATCTTGCCCTGAAGATCCTTGAGCTCCCCAACCAATGCACCATAATGCACCATATTGCTGCTTAACAACATCAGCCTTGCTTTGCAAAGCACTCTTCTTGGCAGACAACAGCTTAAGCAATCCAACCGAACTCTTGAGCTTGTTGGCAACCGTCGGTGCAGGCTTGGGAGGATCGATGACTTTATCAACTGCTTGCTTGACCTCCAAGGGAAGATTTTGAAGGTGTTCCTTCAACAACGTAGGGAGATCCGGGGCCGGAGGTTCCAAAGCCGGAGCCTTCTTGGCCTTGTTCTTCCTCTTGCTGGGAACTCCTCCTGGTAGCCCGGGGTTCCAAAAGCACCTGCTTAAAAGACCTTGTAGGCCACTGCTCACCCTTGTTGGCATAGGTCCATGCTGCCTCCTTTTTCTTCAAATCCGAAACCACCTCTTGCTGCCACCTGTGACCGCAATGCAGGCAAGCCAAGTGAGGCTTGCTGAGGAGACGGTCACGCCAGATCCATCCAGCATTGCAATGTCCACAAACCAAATATTTGCCTCTCATGGAACTCTGCACCCTTCGCGATCTGGCCCTGCTCACTTTCGATCAATTGGCGTCCGTGCCGGTGAGCTTGGCTCAGTGTCCGTGGAACACCGAGCTTGAGGCTGGAGCGGCTTGAGCCACACACACACACATATATATATATATTGAATATTAAGTCTGATAGTTGTAAGGTTGCCTAAGCCCAATTGCAGAGCACTTGCATGTGCGCGTTGTCCTTTACTACAGTCCTCGTCCTCATGCTGGTCACTGGCATACTTGTAGTTGTTGTCTTTAGGTGACCTTGGCCCAGAAAGTCTTCACCGAAGCGGCTTTGTTTGCGTATGACTTACGCAGTAGCGACGCAGAGTTGAACGCCGCGGTGGGCAACTTTGAAGAGGCACATTTGCAGCTTCGAGATGGTGGTGGTGGCCTCTCAGGAATCATGCTACCAGAGCGCCAGGACCTCTTAACTCAGTGGGAACAGGTGGATGGTGCCTGGCAGCAGGTGAGGGGCTACCTACGCCAAGAGCCAATCTCTCGCTTGGAAAGCGCCATGCTTCAGTTGGTGGCTGAACTGACCAAGATCATTCCACTCTATGCCATTGAGGATGTGAAGGACCCTGATGCCTTTCCATGGCCCATTCTCGCCTACAGCATTATCGGGTTCTTCATCTTGACTTGCTGCAGTGTCATGGTCATGTGTGCTCTTTCCAGCCGGCGCCGCAAAACTCCGGCGTCTGGCGCGGCGTCTGGCGTGGCCAAGAGTGCGATGGATGAGGTGTGAGGCGTTGGACCGGTGGTTGCATGCTTTTGGTGGGCGGCTGCTAGAACGACGCATGGTTTTTCCTTGGTTGGTCGAAGGAGGTGACAGGACCCTATTCAACTGCTGTTGGTGTAATACTTTAACATGGTAAAACTATGTAAAACCTGAAGTTTGGAGCCTGTGGGCCTCCCCGAGTTGATGCAACGCCCATCAAGCCATATCAAGCTACTGCTCTTCTTTTTCAAGAGCATGTGTTGTGCAACTGTGTCCATAGGACAGAAGTTGCTACTAAGAATTTGATAATATTTGATAAGTTTGGGGTGGAGTGCATTCTTTGACCGTGGCGCACCTTGGCACAGGCCCTGGGTGCGCTCAGTCATCGAATCGAGCCCATTCAAACTCGAAATCGACCATTGAAAGAACGAATGGCTTGCCCTGCTCCGAGACAGTGGCTTTTCCATGCCTTCTCCTTTCTGTGGCGAAAGCTCAGCCAGCTTCATCTGGCACGGGTTCCAAGGGTCGGCTGAAAATGACCTCCCAAATAACTTCTCAAAAACAACAGTAAACAACATATAAAACAATTGTCTAAAGTTTCTAAGGAAAAAGACAGGTCTAAAGAAGAAAGGACAAGAAAAAAACAATAGTGTAACAGTGTAACCTCCACAGTGATCGCCATAGATCAGCCCCCAAATCGGGGTGCCCGGGCGGGCGTTTCGAGTGCATGTTGGACTTGGAACCGAGCGATCAGAGTTCCACACGGGCAGCAACTGCATGTCGATGGCTGCCTTCCTTTGAATTGTGTAGGAAAAAAGGCGCTGTTGGCAATCAACATGAGATGAACATTGGGCAGTTCGAGTGTCGATGACAAAGCCATAGAAGCTGGACGTAACTTGATAACGGGCTAGTATAAGTTCTAGTCTAGTATGCCTTGCTTTGCCTTTTGTTTTGCACAAGTCCTCCCGAAAGTTCGATATTTTTGTGTTTTCCGGCCTTTCGGTATGACTTGAGGCAAAGCTGACTTCCGGGAGGGCGACGCTTATGAAGCTTTGTCCTCGGCGCTGATTGGGCACATGAACAACTCCCTGCGTCCCATCGACGTGTGCAACGTGATTTGGTCCTTCTGCGGCTGGGATTTCGGCGTCCCATGCGCATGGGGGAGGATGTCACAGACGAGCAACTGCTTGAGAGTTCCTGGTTCTTGGGACAACCACCAGAGGGCTATTCACCAAACCCATGACTCATGATTCGCACAAGTCTGGCCAGAGTTTTGGCAACTTCACCTCCCCCTGAACTGCCCAACAGGTTGGATCATTCTTGTTTTTGGAATAGATCCGAACGTCGCTTTCGAACGTTTTGCAGGGCAACAGAAAACACCTCCCGGGCAGACAACGACGAACTGAGGAGTGTGTGGAGTTTGGACAGTGAAGGTTAAGGTTGATCCAGACTCTGCAGGAGTTTTCTTTGAGTCCAAGTCTCTGGTGGAGGTGTGTTGGATCAAGAGCTGGGCTTCTGGCGAGGGATGCAAAGCTGATGCTTTTGGCGAAGTGTGTGTGTTTCATGGGTCACGGACCGAAATGGAGCAATCTAATAATCCCTATGGATCCACATACCTTCTCAGAAGGTAATTGGACCCTCCAAGCCTACATAAATAGTCTCCAATCACCATCTCAGAAGGTATGTGGACCCATAGGGAATGAATCTAATGATCTAATGGATGTCGGATGATGTTGGTATTGAAGCTCGATTTGTACTTTCTTGGTTTGGTGGAGTTGTGGTGCGAGTGTTTTAGTGTTTTACGTCCCAGAAACGGAGTATAAGAGCCTCCAGTGACTTGCAGTCTTCAGCAAATCCCAGGCACAGTGGGCTACCGGGATGACGTGCTGTTCACCAAGATTTGCGAGATGTATTTGACCAAGGACTGGGCACAATATAGCACAATGGTCCCCACTGCCTGAGGCACTGATAAGTCGCACTCCTTGAAACTTGGATTCCTTGCCGTGTGCGCCAGCTGTTGCTTCGCTCCGAACTCTGTCGGGCGTCGCTCGGACATTGAATCTCCAGAGTTGAATGACCCGAGATGACTCATAAGATTCATCAGTGTCATTCATCTCATATTCACTCCATATAAATAGTATTTCTTTGCAATGGATGCTCAAGCGCTGGACCTTGAAGCTTTCAGTGTTGATCTATGGCAAGCTCTTTGTGGCCGCTCTTGGTTGTTGGTTTCTGCGCCGCGTGCGCCTCGACCAGGAGGAGATGGTCAGGGACTTCAATCCCCAGGATCTCACGAACACCACGTGGGGCTTTTGCAAGGTTGGCTTTTGCCACAGGGAAGCCATGGAGACCTTAGCCTTTGAACCTGGCCTACGTGCGGCCGGGCGGTGCGGGGGGGGTCCAAATGGCAGATCACCAAGTTGGCATATACAATGTGCTGTGTCTCCTTCATGCATCAGGTGTAGTGGCAAAGTAAAGGAGTTGTTGTCATATGCCTTGTTTTGCAAAGTGTGCTGTTTGATAGTGATTGGGAGGCTTGAGTTGGTGGCTAGGTTTGGTGGAATATTCCTCCGAAATCTCACTTCCAGAGCTGTTGAATCCCTTGCGATGAGAACAGAAACCAGGATAGAGCAACCGACAAGCTGCAGATGAACCTGGGTTTCCCTACTGTAACTATTGTAACTGTTAGGTGGTTACATTCTGCAGATTCTGTCGACACATTTAGGGATACTTACTGCTGGTGAATCCGATCCCTCCGGACTTGCATATATTTGACCATCTATCTTGGTCGGTAGGGGGCCATACTCATCAATCAGCATCAGGGGTGCCGGATTTTCCCCAGATTTGCCTGGGCGAACCAAACATCTTGAAAGCATCGAACTGTTTCAAGAAGCAGAACATCGAGTCAATGATCGTTTTTTGCGGAATGAGAGGCTGACCCAGGCTGAGTCGAATCTGAATTCATCTCCAATAGCCAAGGGCCTTTGCTTTTTGGGTGAAGCCTGTTGAAGCAAAAGGGCCAAGGAGTTCAGAACCTTCAGGAGGAAACCCCCACTGGGGCCCTGGTGCCTTGGACGGATTTGAGGTGCGCCCACCTGGACACAAGCCCCCAATACTGTGGTCAGGTCCACATACAGTTTTAGTTAAACAAATAATAGTTCAGGTTGGTTTACAACCGAAGTTCGCTCCACCGCTACCCAACTCTATCTCCGGGCGATAGCTACTGGAAGCTTGCAGCACAGCAAGCTCAGGAGTGTCACCGGCAACGGGATCGCTTTGATCCGATCCACTTCTCAAACCTCCTCTACTCCTTTGCGATGCTCAGAATACCAGGCCCTGCTCCTCTCTAGCGGGAGTTTTTGAAAATATAACGGTAATAGTAATAGGTATAATTCGGTATAGGCAGGCATAGGCTCCAACATTTCATAGTTTATGTATGTATATATATATATACTTTGTGTTTACTTACTACATATATCCACAAAATTGAACGTATGAAATGCGTGGCGCAGATGAACACTTCTTCACCCCACCATGTTCATCCCCAGAAACGCATTTTGCGGCCTCTTTCCGAACTTGAAGGCCCTCCGAGTTTGCTGGCAGAGGTGGCGTCCACGGCTTCGCAGCAGGTGGCACGCTTTGATGCGGGGAACCTGGCGATTGCATGTTGGGCACTGGCTGCGCTGGGCTGCTTGGAAGAACAATTTTTCACTTGGGCGGTTTGGAAGGCACGCCGCGCCTGGAGGGTAGAGCTCGCTCGTCAAAGAAGTTCCCTCCTCGAAGCAAGCAACACCTCGTTGTTTTGGCCGGCTGAATTGCAGCGACATGAGATTTGAAAGGGGAATCGCCAAAGATGTGGGATGTCAGAGGATCAACTATTGTTTCTATACCAGGAGCGTAAATCTCCGATCACCCGTCATGGTGTCATTGGTCAGTGTCCGTTTCCAAAGCACAGGTATGAGTGAGCACCCCTTCTTGGACTGTGCACTGGAGCGTGTCATCGGCTCATCACAGGCTGTCTCGGGTGTCTAGGGTCTTGGTTTTTTTTGGACTAGGGAATGGATCGCCAGAAAAGCGAAGCAACAAGATCCATCCTAAAGATGTTGGCAGCCCTTAACAAATTCTGAGAGGAATCCTAAGTCAAACGTCCTGCTCCAAGATGGCCTTTGGGTCAAAGTGCAGCAGATTGACATTTACTTTAGGATGTTTTAGGTTAGGCGCCACTAGATTGCTAACTCCGGAGCTTATTCATCAACCCCAAGAAGTGGGCCAACTGGCCGTGCACATGTGTCTCCCTGAGAGGTCTGTAGCAACTTGGGCAGCCGAGCACTTTCGATGTTGGCTTTAGCCTGTTTCCGCACGGCTCGTCCCGGGCGTTTGGATCAGCTGCTGGACGCGACGCGGCTGTGCGGTTTGGGTGTGGGTGCTTCAGGGTACTCTGCAGCGGTGATGGCCGCCGAACAAGGGAAGGATCAAGAGCGTGAGCTACGGATCTTGAGGCAGCGCCTCGGTTGGCACGAGGATCCTATAGTACCTTTACCAGCACCCTCCAACAGGTGCTTCCTGGTGACAACAGGTGCCCAGAAACCACCTGTTAGGGTCTCCAAACAGCCTGTTGGAGGGTGCTGATAGGGATCGCATGGGAATGGCAGCCGAGCGAGTAGTTATTATTGTGTGGCCAAGTGCTTGTACTTGGGAGAAAGAGGACTCAGGTGGAGTCAATGGAATGACACAGCTGTTGTCGTTGACACAGTGAGACTTTTAGATACCAACTAAACACAGCCACAGCACGTTGGACCTTCCAACAGGTGATTCATCGTGACCAATGTTTTTTGCCCATCAGATCCATATCCGTTTGGGTCTTAAAACCCAATAAGATCGAACGTCTAGGCATGTCGGCACGGTCTTCACGCATGGGCATCCAGGATGGCAGCAGAGGCCCGGGACGTGCGAATGCAGGCGGCGGTGTGCAACTCCTTGGCTCTTCGTTTGTGGAAGCGAGGCGACACAGCGGGCGCCTTCGCGGTGCTACGGGGCCTTAAGGACCGGAGGAAGGAGGAAGGAGCGCGAAGGGAGGAAGGTGGATTGAAGAACGGTTTACACGGGTCTTTGTCCTGATCATTCTGAACCAGATGCGACTGAAGAAGCTGGCTTGGTTCCCCAAGGCTAATCTCTGGGTGCTGATATAGCACAGGGAGTGAGCTGAGGAAACAAAAACAGTAATGGATATATTCCTGACAGTTGTTGAAAGGCAGTCAGTATTGCCAAGGTTGGAGTCCTTAGTCCATTGACCGTTTTGTTTTCGTAGAACTGCGGGCAGATTGGGTGTGCCTCGTGGATTGGATGAAGTTGGTTTCCATTATTGGTTGAACCGCCGCACGTGTTGGTCCAGCAACACGTTGGATATGGTGCCATATCCAAGTGTCTTCCATGTAGTAGACTCCCAGTCAAGATGGTTTCGTTCACTTTCATGGTCCATCATGAGAAATCGCCATTAGGCCATCGCTGCATTAGGTTGGAGGCCATCACTATTAGACTTTCTTTTCCTTTGTTCTGTTTTTCTGTCGAACATGGCTTTCCGTGGGTCGTTGGGTCGTGGACCGCACCGGGTGGTCGGTGGGCGGCAGGAATCCAGTCCACACAGCTGGTCGGTGGTCTCCTCCTTGTTGGTGGCACGCCTGGGCACCGACACCCGACGAATTCTACGAAGGGACACATGGGGAGGAGGTCAATGTCTACAAGGGGATGGCCGCATTCTATATCATTCGATGTTAAAAATCACAAACAGGCAAAAGCTTCAAAAGGGCTAGTGTTGGTCAACCATGCGTGGCAAGAATTGCAATGTTGCTCCGTTGGTGTAAAGCCCGTTGTCATGTTGTTCACTTTTTGAAGACCTCGGAGATGCAACAATAGGATTTCAATTCCCATCATCATGTGCCAGTTCGAGTCGCAAAAATCAGTTGAGGCTTGTTCTTGCGGGCTTGTACAGATCAACGGAACTTCCACCTGCTAAAACAGCAACAGAGCCTGGTTGGGGGCATTTCTTCAGCTGGCCTATGCCCGCCTGTTCACCTTTTTCATGTAGGCAGTCAGGTGGGTAGCGCTGTTCACCTTTGAGGATTCAGTAAGGCCAGGAGCCCGTTCGTAGCATCCGAACGATCCGTAGCGATGCCGCGATGCCCTTTATTACTATTAGCGATGCCCTTGCTCCTAGTAGCATTCTTGTTACTAGTAGTAAGGCCTGGACTACTAGTAGCTTCTTGTTCCTATCATGAACTTAGGAACTGGGTGCCTTGGCAGAAGCCTCCGAGTTGCTGGGTGGTGATGGTGCCGCCTTAGATGCCGCATGGGAAGCGCCGGTGCTCAGCGGCATTCATCCCATGGCAGCAACCAGACAAAATGAAGGTGCTGGCTGTTGTGTGGGTTTTCCCTAATGGTTGCTTATTGTTGTTCTTGATGATGACTTTTGTTATATTGTTAAGTATATTGGTTTATATTAGGTACCTGGCAAGTAGCAGTCTTTGAAATGTGTGTCAGGCTTTGCATCTATAAAATGCAATTCCTAGACCACTTGACAGTGAGGGTACCAGCATCAGTTTATAAGTGGCTTGTGTTTGGAGCAACAGTTCAGTTACCGAAAGCATCCATGTGTTTTCAGAATTTATCAGAATGTCAAGCGTTTTCCCCCAGATAGCGAAGCTATGGGGTACTTACTTCAAATAACAATGAGCTGCCTGTGCGCGCTTTCGAAACAGGTTGCCGGTGCTGGTGCTGGTGCTGTAAGCTGGCTGTGCACGTGGTGGAGACAGGGTGCCGGTGCTGGTGCTGGGTGCTGGCTGTGCAGGTGGTGGAGACAGGGCGCCGGTGCTGGTGCTGGGTGCTGGCTGTGCAGGTGGTGGAGACAGGGTGCCGGTGCTGGGTGCTGGCTGCGCGCATGGTGGAGACAGGGTGCCGGTGCTGGGTGCTGGGGCTGGGTGCCGTGAGCTGGCGCGCCGGTGCTCGGTGCTGGTGCCCGCTTCTGACAACCGCTGCTTCTGACAGTGAAGGGTGACAAACCGCCCCTTGTAGCAGTGAAGGGCGACCAACAGCCGCTTCTGACAGTGAAGTGCCAGCAGTCATGCGCCGCATGAACTTATGCACGCAACATCATACGGTGTTGTCGCTCGAGCGTTCTTTGTCTATTAGCGCTGTGGGGTGTTTACACTCTTCAGGTTCTGTTTTGGCCGACAGCTGTGTCACGGGCTGCACTGTTTGCGCGCATACTTTTGTACGTATAATGTTCTATGCGCAACGTCAGGCTCTCATCCGGCCATTGCTTCAGCATGTTTCAGCATGCTACACACACACAATAGTCGTGCTGGATACTGCTTGGCCTTGGGCCAGTGAAGTGAAGCCTACGGGCTTTGCCGTTTGCGCGCGTACTTTTGCGCGCATAAACTTATACGCGCAAGATCATACAGCCTTATCGTTCTACAGATCGTTGCTTGGCTTCAAGCATGCTGCGAAGTCATACCCCCCCATGGTGCCTTCCAGCATTGTAGACCCGAAATCGTTGAGTGTTTTAGACCTTTTCAACTTTTCTTCAGGAAGTGCATTCAAATTCTTGTGCTTGTTTGCTTGCAGATTTCAGAAGGCTAACAAATTCGCCACAGATCGATTCGGCGTGGTATAGAGCCATTTTTGCTCCATGGCCGATCGAAAGAAGAATGACAATGATCCACCTGAGAAATAAACAGTTGATGAAAAAATAGGCTGGCCTCTGAGAAAACTAGCTGCAATCCATCCAAGCCAGTCTTTTTGGCAACATCATCACCATCCAGCCGCAACCCGATCAGCTCCATGGGCATCGCTGTTGTTTGCATCACAAGCCTTAGAAACTCGACACGGTCTGAAATGGCAAGCGGCCCTGTGGAACAAACTCCCCTACAAGCCTACTCCATGCAGTTAACCCCGTCTCTCTCCCCTTCCTTAAGCAGTATGGTCGGCGGTCCATGTCTAGAATGAAATCAGCAATTCTTTCAGCTTTGAATACATGATTAAGGCTTCCGAGCACCAGTCAAGACCCTTTTTACTGATGCCAAACCCCACCTCTGTTCAACCGGCACGCTTTCAAAAGGGTGTCGGTGCTGGCGCTGGTGTTTGTGGTCCTGGGCGCTGGTGCTGTGAGCTGGCTGAGCGACGGGCCGCGGCGCTGGTCGAGTGCTGGTGCCGCTGCGAGTGTTGTCATCTGGCAAAGCGCACCGGCGCACCGGTGCTGGTGTCAGCTGGTTGTGCGCGGTGCCGTAAGCTGGCTGTGCAGGCTGCGCACGTTCTTGTTCCAGCCAGTCGCATGTCAGCAGGTCGTGGGATTCTGCCCAGTTATCTGGGTCTATGCTGGTGTAATTTATATAAATATGTAGAACATGGTTGGCAGATGTGCTTTAAGAGCCAACACAGATTGTAACTTAGAATTAGCGTCGGTGCTAAAGGAGTGTTTGTCCGAGCATTGATATACATATATATATATATATAGCACCCCCTAGAGGAACGCGAATGGTTCACCCGCAGGTGCGCATGCCTACACCCGCGAGTTCATGACGCTGCACGCCGTGCTGTGCGGTGCACCACCCGGTGACCCGGACGCTGCGATGGCCGCGATCGAGCGCTTCGCAGAGAGCCGCTCGCTGTGGCTGAAGATCACCGCCTGGGAGAAGGGCGTGGTGGTTCAGGAGGCGCCAACCGCGGCGCAAAGAAATTCTCCAAAGGAATGTTGGGCAAGATGGCAAAAGGGACCATGAAACGTCGGGTTTTGAGACTAGCGTGTCCGATCGACCTTGGGATGTATTTCTATATGTATATATATTCATAGGTATAGGTGTAAAAGTTGGACTGAAAAGGGGGTTAGGGCTGTGCGACAGAAACCTGTTTTACCATATGGTTACAGTTTTTCCACCTAGGCCAACCGGTAGAGCCACTGTTTGCCACGTCGCATGCTCGGCCAAAAGCTAGAAACAACTTGGCAGAACATGTTCTTTGAGGATCCTGTTAGCCTAGTATGGAGTGGTGCTGGGTGTTATTGACACTGGAATGGTTGCCGGGGTGGCCATTGTATTTCACGATAACTTGGAAATGTGCAGTCCACCCTCCAAGTGATGTTGCAGCAGATGTTTCGAGAAATTCAATTTTTAACAAACTGCCGCATTCGGTGATTGCCTCCAAACTACTATACTGACTGGGACTTGACTGGGAGGTAACCAGCTATTTGGCCAAGCCCTGTGTTTCAGGTGGCCCGTTGGGCCCAGCCTCGTTTAACCGTCGAGATCGGCGCCTACGTGGGCTATTCGGCCATGAACGTGGCCCGCACGGTGCGTTCGCACGGCGGCCGCGTGGCGAGCTTGGAAGTGGATCCGTTGCACGTGACGCTGGTGCGGAACATGCGGCCTGGTGAACGGATTGGATCAGGTCACCGGGCTAGGTCCGTTTGGTTCAACGGAGTTGGGTTGGCTGCGTTTGTTGATAGATCACGATTTGGCTGGGTTTGTTGATGCATCAATTGCCATTGCTGAAAGGAGTGGGTTGCTTATGCTGAGCCCACACGACTCCAGAGAGGTTTCAAGTTACCCTAAATGGTTTCAGAGTAGATGGTGCAGACTTCAAGGTGTCCTTCACATGGGGGTTCAGATAAACCACCTCAGGTCTGTGCCACCTCTGAACTAGAAGTGGCATGCAATCGGTCTGTGCCGCCACTTGGGCGTGTCGCAACTCGAAGGGCCCCAAGGCTGCCTGTCTGAGGCTGGAGTATGCTGGCCTGTCCGACGTGGTGGATGTTTGGACAGGCGTCGTCTGGAGAATTCCGACATTTTTGCCTCAAAATCGATCAAGCAGAGGTTGTGTCGGGTTATGTGCATACCTTCCACCAACAGTTGACCAGCAAGTCACCGTATACGAGCCCTCCCTTTTTCACACGTCCGCGGAGTCCGCTTCTTTCAGACGACCCCGCTTCGGAGTCCGAAGGAGTGGACGAACAGAAGGAAGACTCACTGCCCTTTCACCTGATTTGTTTGAGCTTGAAGATTCAAGATGCTCTCTACACAAGGAGCCAACAGCGGCATGTGTCGTTGATGAAAAATGGCGTGTCTCACATGCAAGAGGTAGACATATAGGTACTTCGACACAGTGCTGCAGCTAGGTGTGCCAGCAAGTTGAGTTGCTTGAGCTTCTTAGAAAAATCTGCCAGGCTACTCTTTCGACAGTATACCTCATTTACTGAAGACCTATGGGCCGCGCTCGGTGGACATGGTTTTCATGGATCAGACGCTTGGACCGAGCTCCGTCCTTCGGATCCGGTTCCGTAAGTGGGTATACGGTACGGAGCGCGCCCCGGCCACAGCACTCACCCGCGAGGTTGATGGGTCAAGCGGAGCGGAGCGGCTTTTTTTGGGGTGTCATAGGGGCACTGGGGTGCGGAGCATGCGGAGCCTGCGGATCCTGCGGAGCGGCTTTTCTTGGCTTTTGGTTTGGTGATTTCTTCATGGCCAGGAGGAAGAAGGACACCTGCGTACATTTTAGCTTTACGTTGTTACAATACCAAGACCTCGACCTCGACATACGTCGACGTTCGCGTTCATTGATCTAACCCAATCTTCCAAACCCAAAGGTCTTGGAGCTAAGGAAGGGCACGCGCTTCCACAGCGATTTGGCACTGATGGAAGAATTGGATTTGCTGTCGGACCGTGCAGTGATCCTTGCAGATAACGTGCTAAAACCTGGAGCACCGCTCTACATTTGGCACTTGGCCAAGGGCAGCTGCCGGGCAGAAAGTTTAGCACGTGGAAGCGGTGAGAATTGCCACCGAGAGAGAGAGAGAGAGGAGTTTGAAAGCATATGGTTTGAACCAAGCTGAAGAACTATAAAAGATCGGACCCTTGGACACAATGATTGTTTGGCAGTTCATCATCTTGCTACTCCCAACCTGCTGGGGATGAGCAGGGCAGTTTGGATGGCAGTTGCTTATGTTCTTCACATCGTTGCATGCTTCAACATTTGCATCACCGCTGAGACTTCCATTGAACTCCTCCGTTGAGGGTACAGAGTCACACAATCTCAAAAGAGCACGGCAAGCCTAGGCCTGTATCCCGTACTAAACACACATCAAACCGTTTTAAATCGCTTCATATTGATCATATTAATTACAATACAATGCAATACCTGTCCAAACATGTCCATATGGGTATGTCAATCACTTTAAGCTCTAAGGCTAAGTACTTGGAGCACAGAATGATCAAAGGCGGAAGTGTTAAATCGTGTTAAATCCCTTGATTACATGTATATATATATATATACAGTAACTGACCAGGAGTTAGAATATAACATCAATGAACAACATGAATTAGGATCTAATTCACTGAGGCAGACCTGGTAAAAATAGCACATAGAATACAATGCAGTTAGAATATGGTGGAGCAGCCATTGAATCAACACCATTGATCTTTATCACTTCCATTTGAAGCAAAGCATGCATTATCTTTGGCATCCATTATTTGTTGGCACCTCCTCATCGAGGAGTCAAGGAGCTAAGATGTGTCACGTTTGTTTTGCCTCTTGTATATTCTAAGTGCATTGGTGTAGATTCTAAGTGCATGGTAGCTCGGAATTACATTTCTATATTAAAACTACATTCCTAATTCCTTATGTTGAATTCTAACTGCCAGTCATGGATAGTATATATTATATATATATATTGTTGATTCGTTGATTTGGATCAATCAATCAATGGATACCCGCCAGCACGCCTCTACCGTCCTGAGGTTACCACCACTGCACGGCCATTAGCGTGAGGGAGTTTCTCCTCCAATCCGAGGACCTCGAAAGGGAAATTGTTTTCCTTGTTGACCCAATTGTCAGGGGTATATAGATGGGAAGCATGGGGTATGGCCGTCCTGGAAAACACGCATGGTGCCTATTCCAAGTGTGATTCTCAATGGCAGGGTGTGGCCGTGGCGCCGGGAACATGACTCCAGTAACTCCAGTAGAGTAGAGGGTTTTCATGAATTATGACAGTGTTCCTTCAGAATGCTTGACCCACATGCAAGCCAGTCTCACAACCTGTGAGTTAAGAGGACATCGATCTCAACAATCTCTTGCCTGTCACTGTGAGGACATCCAAGTGTGAAATACCCTCCGCCTCACTAACATGGAAGTGGAAACGGACCCTGGGAGGGCTACATTCCTCGACGGACAGGGTGGTTTCCACTTCCATTTTTGTGAGTCGAAGTCTATCCCCAAATTTTGAGTTGTTCAATTCTAAGACACGCCCCAGCCATTCGTCCGAAGCTAGGACTGGATGGTCATGGCCTTCCGGGATGCTTCGAAGCCACCGGCACCCACACCACCGCCCGAGCTGCACCGCTTGGCCTTTGAGTCGGATCACTTCCGGAAGAAGTCCATGTTTGATGGGGTGGCGCCCAGCAAGTGCCGTGGCACCTGCCATCCAAAGTGCTTGTCCACCACCACCACCACCACCACCACCACCACCACCGTGGTTCCTATTTCTTCTTGTTCTATCCTAGTCCTAGTGTTAATTTTTGGTGGTCCTCTGACTCCGAGCTATTCCTTCAAGCACAAGTCAACAAGAATACAGTAACAACCAAAATTCATTCCTTTTGATCCTTTTGCTTCCTTGACGCAATTCCTAAACTCATATACCAGACTGTTTGGACTTTTCAATCCAAGTCTTTGCATTCTTTTCAGGATGTCCCCGACTCTACCCGGAGCTCGGGGACGGGGACGAGGACGGATTCGGATTGAGGTCTGATTGGTGGAAGTTCTCCCAGGGCTTCGTGACGGGTTTGGAGCTGTGTGGGTGCAAACCGCGGATCGTAGGCCTCCACGGCCGGGACAACCCCAAGATCACGCCGGAGGATGTGGCAAGGATCTTCCGCACTGCGGCGGAAGAGCGGGGAGGCGAAGATGATGAGGTTCTGAGAGGACGTGGCGCTCAGAGGACGTGGCCATCGTGAAAAAGAGTGAGCTGAAGCCGAGGGCTTTTGGGGGCGGGTTTTTGGGGGCAGTATGGCGGTCAGTAAGGCCAGGCCTGCAGGTGATGGAGGGCATGATCTTACATCATAGTAGACGGTTAAGAACCAATGCTCATTCCAATGAAGAAGACTTTCACGAACTCTGTCTTTGTGCGTACCTCCGACGTATGGACCCCCATACCTCCGCGTGGAACACTACGGAGTCGTGGGCCTGAGATCCAGGCGGCGCAAGACTATGGCTTGGAAAGCTTCATGTTTGGAGCTCAGAGAACTGGAGCGCTAGTCAATCAACCTTAGGACTTGGGAATCAGACTTCTCCAGGAGATGATCAATGATTGAACTTGGAAGTCCTATGAAGTCCTAGTGTTCTACAGCAAGAGTTTACAAGTGGGGCTGGGTTTCTATTGCTTTGTAGTGTTTGCCCCCACTGAAGGTGGAAGCAGTTTTCTATGCTGTGGGATCACTTAATATATAAGCGTTCACTTGATATTGGCATGCATCATGCATCTGGAAACAAGGAAAATGTTCAGACCTGGAATGTCTTTCATATGAGTTGAACATTCTTTGGAGACCTCTTCATGTCTAACCCCAAGCTTCCCGATGTCGCGAGTCTTTTTAAAGAGGGAGATGGAGGATGAAGTTCTACCTGCTGGATGCGATTGGTGAAGGGTAGCAGTCTCACAACGGGAGTGCTTCCGAAACACGCATCGCCCCCAGCTATGGGAGGCATCGCAGCCGGCCCAATAGAGAAACCATGAGAAACTCTTGAATCGGTTCCATTTTTTGGTGGTGGCCTTTGCAGTGAGAAACTGAGTGTGACTGTGTCGTCTCTCTTCCTTTGCAAGGCAATCGGCCATGGCGCCCGCCATGCCCTTGCACCAAATGCCTTTTTATCCGGCCTATTGCAAGGAGGCGACACGATTTGAGCCATCAACACCCAAAGTCGCTTTCCGGAAAGGGATGGAGTGAGTGTGCGGATCTGATCACGAAAGGTATTGTAGCTCCAGCATGCTTCAGATACCTCAGTTTTCCTTGCTTTAGCACAAATGTATTGTATTGGGAAGCTGGTGACTTGCAATGAATCATAGACTCTAAGAAAGATAAGAAAGCATTCTTCAGCTTCATTAGTGCCCCTCTCCTGGGTCAAATCCCCCTCGTCCTCATGCATGTTCTCTATCTCGTTTTCTCATCAGGTGCATTCAGCTTCGATCCAATTAATCGCTGAACTACGGTCTGGTTCGAAGGTCTGGTTCGCTCTAGAAAGCGAAGCAGGGCAAACAGCGAAGCTCCAACCTCCCAGAGGCTAGGCCAGGTGCAAAGGCCGGCCAGATTTGGCTGGCCAGATCTGGCCAGCCACTTTGCAGCTTGCCTAGTGAAGGGACTCTCAAACCATCTCGAACCCACATTATATGTAATGAACAAAGGGCTGTCCAAGCATTTCCTGGTTTGTTGTTTGAAGTTTTTGTTGCAACTCACCAGTGGCCCACCCCTGCTTGCATGGTGGCTACCTTTTTGTTCACCCCCTCCTCTCTCAAGTGCACTATGAGCTGGTGATGGCCGACAGCCTTCGTGGCTTTCAAGGCATTGATTCCGGGTTTCTAAGGTCATTGATGTTCGATGTCCCTCCTTTGGGCAGAGAAAAGCGACTCCATCAAAGCATCGAAGATCATCGAAGCCTGACACGTCAGGACTTGGATTCCGGCTCAGTGAGCACCGCCGAGGAACTCCACGAGGAGGGTCGAGCGAAGACGTTGGGTTCAATTGGCCTGTATTTGGGGAGAGTGGATGCTCCAAACTCTGGGTTTGTCAGGTCCCTTGGGCTGTTGGTTTATTGCACTTGAAGGGACCTAGATAGCGGTGACTGGGCCTGTGGCGGACCGTAACTAGACATTTTGAGTTGTTTTGAGTGCATGCAACATTTCGTACGTCAGTGTACGGTAGCGCCACTACTGCCGAACGTGATGGGGTCAGACGTGCCCTCCGAAGCCGCACGAACCTGCGGCAGTTGCCCCTCGGAGTGGGCCGGATGGAAGCGCCCATAGCTATGCCGCCCCACACATGGGTTTTGGCTGTCTTGAAGGGAGACAACGGTTTGCGCCGGTTCATGTCCTTTGGCCGCCTTTGGCACCCAGAGCCAGAAATCGCCAGAGCCAAGAAGTGTTAGGCGTTCCCTTGTGACGCTAATTTTCTTGTCGCTTGTGACGCTAATCCGCCAAGAAGAGCCAAGCACCAAGCTGCCTTCAGCCGGGGCCAGGTTTTGACACAACCGCAGCGGTGTTGACCAGTTGAAGTACCTTGTGTAGTTTTTTTCCGCAGCGAAAACGCAAGAGTCCAGAATACGCCAGACCCAACATGTGCTTTCCATAAGTTTCACATAGATTAAAGCGGATTAAAGTGTGGCCCAAAAGACATGTGTGGCGCTATGTTTGCAATTTACTTGGTTGCCTCTTAGTGGCGCTATGCGGTGCACACAAGTATATATAAGCGCGCGTTTTCTTTGACAAAGGTGGCCACGTGTTTGACGGAACTGCAGAACATGCTTTGCTTGGGCTTCCTATGCCTTTGGGCATGTCCATGTTTGCTTTGCGTCTTGAATCCGAGTGAACCTTTGAGGCTTGCAGAGTGTCAAATTCTTGCTTCTCCAGGTTCAGATAGATTTTTGGTAGGTCGCTGGGCCAATCGGTTCAGTGATGACCTCGTCATGTGGAGCTTGGCGGTAGGCAAGAGACTGAGAGGCGTATGGTTGCGGATCTGAGCTGTGCGTCATGCATTTTGCGTGAGCTGTGCATAGGTAATATTTCCACATGTATGTTGCTAGTATGCCTCCCAGAGTCCTCCCAGTGAACCGCGGGATTATGCCTGTCATGCTTGCTCAGCGCAGATGTGTAAGATGTGTCTAAGATGTTCTAACATCATTCTAAGATCTTTAGTACTTCCTTCGCCCGTAAGCACACATTGTGGTTAGGTAAGTGATGCGAGCAGGAGCGTAAGAACATATACTGGGTTTCTCCTATTATTGCCTGTAACAGTCAGCAAACAAATACTGTATTACTATGTTTGAACAAGGCCTTTATTAGTCATCATCGTCCTATTTGGATATAGACTGATATAGACCCAAGTTATATGACACACATGTGCAGCTATATACTGCTATACTACCCAGCAAGTCCAAAGGACATGTTAAACTAATGCGTTGACCCACAGCACTGGGATTCATCTCTTGCAGCGTGATCAGGATGCAGAGACGACGTCCAGCTTGGCGGCCACACACGTGCCGCCCAGCCTCACTTTGGGCGCGGAGGATGCCTGGACCTTGCTGTCTTCAGGCGATACACTGTGAGAGCAGCAAGGGCGACACATTCCCATGTTAGCTGGGCAGTGGGAGACTGGGAGATGTTCGATGCCTCTTGCACACACTGACAACTTGGGGCAGTTTCTTGTGACCCACATCAGTAGCAAGATGCAGGTGATCCAAAAATGCATCCTTTTGATTGAAATACATGGTGAAAGAGGGCTTGTTTCCGTCTTTTGACACGTTTGGGCATCTTGAGCGCCCCATGGGGCATTCGTTTCCATCCATTTCGGTGTCGAATTGGGAGTCCCAACGCAGAGTCCCAAGCAATCTGCCAGGGCACAAGGGCGAGGAGCTCTACTGGAACGAGGCGAGGAGCGAACGTGGCTCGAGCCGATCGGGCGGTGATCGTGGTGAAGGACGTGTGGCATACCACCTGTGCTACAGCGATATACAGCGATCATACCAGCCCCATGATTTGCAGTATACCCATTCCGGCCCGAATGGGCTACCTCCGAAGGTATGACTGGACTCTCCTAACCCACCTTCTCAGAGGGTACTTGGAGCCCTGCGAAGAGTCATGTCAAGGGAACAGCTGTTTTCCGGTGTTTCGCTCGCTGTGAGAAGTGTGCCATTGCCCTGGCCCCGGATGGCCCTGGACGAGGGCAAGAATGCTCAGCGGGTGCATCACACACATTGCAGTGCTGAGTTCGGTGCCCTGCCTCTGGTCACTGCCCCAAGAACATCTCGCAAGAGCAACATTTATCGAAATATTGGGACTTGAACAGCTCTGTGCAACCAGCTTTGTGGTTTCGAGTTCCTTTGTGATTCGCTCCGTTGAAGCCGACCGCGGTCGCTCTAGGCCATGCCGTATTTCAACCAGTACTCTGAGGTCCAGAGCCTCTCAGGGGCGGGCGTTTTGAATCGTTTTAGCAAAACAAACAGAGAAACGATGAGAACGACCCGTCATGTTTTGATTGTTTTCCTATGTTTTCCTTTTTTTAATCTTCATCACGGGCCACTTCGCTTTGGGCAGAATCATGCTTTTAAAGGTAGTTGCAGGGGCATCGCTACGGTCGTAACAAGGGCATTACTACGAACGTAGCATCCGGACGCTACGAACGGGGAGCTCCTGGCATTACTACTAGGAACAAGAGGACGCTGCGAACGTGCGAACATCAAACGCCATAATCAAACCACCGACCGGCAGCGTGTTGACATGTGATGATTCCAGTCACGCGTGTTTTTGTTTTCCGTTGGAAGGGTAGGGTTCGAGGTAGGACACCACTGGAAATGTGTTGCTTTTTGACAAGCCTAGTCTCACCTAGTCTCGATAAGTCTAATCTGTTCATTACTAAATGCAAATTAAAACTGCCCAAAATCACAGCTATATATAGACTGCCCTCCTTACATACACATCACCCCTTGACCCACAAGGCCTTTGCCAGCCCCTTTACTGGGAGCATTGCCGCAGTGGAAGGTGCAGGCGTCGAGTGTGGGCAGATCACCCAACTGAAATCTATACTTGTTACATCTTGTTACTAGTAGCGATGGCCTCCAACCCAATAGCTTCTGGAATAATCTGGAATGGGCGAAATTAGGTTTCGTCATCGTACTGCAGGTGGTTGAAGGAAATGTGGGGAGCTCCCCCAGAAAGCTTTCTTCGATGGTTAGCTGATCAATGCTGATC